CAGGGACAGCGATTCTGATGACGAAATCATGCAGAACCTTTACCCTACCCTCGACCCGTTCCAGCACAACGGGTTGGATGACTTCCTCACCAAGGTGTTCCAGCAAGGAGTTGCCTACCCGCTCACTAGGAACAACTTGTCTGTTGAGAGCCTCAAATCGTACCTTGACGCACTGCCTGGTCGTAACACGCCCTTCGAGGCGTGGTACAACTCCCACAGACAGGACCTCATAGCCAAAGCTGCAGCGCACTTCAGAGTAGCTGAACCAGGTGCGGCGGCCAACACCATCTCTCCTCACCAACTGTACGACTATTACGCCCACATTTTAGAGGAAAACTTTGCCTCCGCGCACGCGGAAAGTGATCTTGCGCGCTTCAGAAGCATGCAGCAGGGAGCTCTCTCTCCCATAGTCTTCAAGGATATGCTGCTAGCGCTGGAGAAAAAGCTGGACGGTAGGGTCAGCAAGCACCAGGTCGCGGAACGTTTTCTAGAGGGTTTAAACCCCATGGTTCGGCATCACCTGGAGAGGCACCTCATTACCGTGGAGCGTACCAAGTGGTACGATCGTTTGGAGAAGACGGCACAAGAGGCTGAGGTTGTGTGGAACAACCTTCCGTTGGAGGACAGAGCAGTGCAGGTACGCAAAAAGCCGCCGCAGCAGAAGAGTGCAGCAAAACCCCCTATTAAGGAAAAACGCACCTTTTACTGCGAGAAGCACGGCACTAATGCATCTCACGATATGGCGCAGTGCCGTGTCTTAAATCCCCCAAAGACGAAGTCCGCGCTTTTGACCTCTGACATCCCCTCCGGTATTGTTGAGCGTGTGGTTACCTTGATTTCCCAGGGACAGGGCAGCGCGTCGACCTCAGGGGGGTCCAGAGGAATGGGCGGGCAAAAGCAGAAGGGGGCTGGGCCATCTAAGCCCAAGCAGGGACAGGGTGCTAGCGAATCGCGGGGGAATAGGCCATCTTGCGAGTTCTGCGGAACCATGGGTCACCAGCAGAGCAAGTGCTTCATTTTCCACCCCGAGCTCGCTCCCGCGGGCTATGAGCCTGCTAACCCAGCCCTGAAGGTTTTATTTCTGCAGCGCAAGAAGGCGGTTGAAAAGAAGGCGGCCTTGGCGGCGGCTGTTGCCGCAGCTTTCGAGGACGACTTCGCAGCAGAGGACGAGGGGGATGAGGAGGTGGCCTGCTGCACGACGCAGTTCCATGAAGCGGCGTCTAACGCCTCTCCCAGCCAGCAGGCCAGGATGGCGCCACTCACATGGACGCGCAGCGCACAAGAGGTAAGGTACAACAGCTTAGCCACCATGCATTCGCAGGCTGTTCCTAAGTCCTTTACCCCTGCCCCTTTAGTCACGAAGCAGTACCCACCACCGACACCACCCGTGGCGAACAACTCAAAACGCACTCATACACTGCTGGATGACAATATTCTCCTGCGTAAAATCTCCGACATGCCTGTCGGCACTTTTCTTAACCTGCTCTGCCAGCAGGGGCTGTCTTCCACCGGCGGCCCCTTAGACGCCAAACCCCATCCCCCAAGCACGGCCCAAGCAACACAGGGTTCCAGCTCAGTTTCGAGCAGCTTCGGGGAGGGATTTTCCACGCTTCAGGCCGACAAGAGTGTGCAGCTCGCCTGTTTCCTGGCAGCAGCACCGGAGCTGGTCATGCCACCTCCCCTTGATTCTGGCCTGGCATCTTTTGCCCTGGCGGCCCAAGGGCGCGCCAAACCCTCCAACCACCGTGGTGCCGGTTTCGAGTACCAGGTAAGTGGGGTTAAGGGTCCGCCTCTGCGCACTTTGTCGAAGCTCTCGCCTGATGAGCGGGAGCAGGCTTTAGCGGTTAATCCGTCGGCGGCGCGTTACATGGGGGAACCCGAGGGTCTGTATTACTACGAAACAGGGGCGTGTGTGTTGGTTCAGGGGCAGCACGACAGGGCAGCTCCGGAGGTGTTGCGTGATTTTGCCGCAACGGTCAACGTAATGCCGACCAGTGTAGCCAAAGCACTTAACCTGCCCATAGTCGAGACAACCACGCGGCTGTCCACCTCGTTGCAGCTAGGGGGTGCTGTGCGCGGAGAGTTGGACACCTCAAACATCTTTTTTGAGCTTCTTCCGGGCACGCCGCATGCCACGCGGGTCCCGCTTACTAAAACCCTGGTCGTTGACGAGCGACCCGACCTGTTTCAGCTCCTAGTGGGTAATGAACAGGCGAAATTCTTAGGGGACGCTCTGGAATCATATCCAGAGCCTAGGCTGCACTTTCATCCTAACTTTTTGCAGTACCCTAATTATAAGGTAACGATTCCCATGCGCAAGCTTGTGAAGCACAAGCGCTTCTCTAGCATGGTTCACTTGTGGGAGTTGCGTGCGTCAGCATGGCCATTCCCAGCACCTCTCCTTCCGGCTCCGAGCTGGGGGGGGGGAATCC